ATTGTTGTTAGTGGCAGAGGAAGAATCTGAGCCTGTGAGAAGAGACAGTAAGTGTCTGCCTTTGACATCTTCTTAAGACATTGTGTATTCTATCCACTTATTTACTCTTTAACATCATGGAAGCAATATCCTTAGTGCCTGAAAGGACATGAAAACAGGACCAATACAAACCAACCTAGCGAGTGAATGGAAAGACTAAAGTACAGAAACTGATTAATAGCTTTTAATGAGAGTGCAAACAAATTATTTACCTTCCTGAGCTGAAGTCCAATACTTGTCCTGCATATGGGATACTTCACAGAAAACATTCCAAAAATATGAATTCCAAACCAGAGATTTAAAAAGGGAAAAAATGGAAGAAAACACTCCAAAAGCAAATGCAAACTTAATAGAAGAAGGAGAATGATAATATAAATTACTACCTTAAAGGGATAGTCACTGCCATTCTTGGTAGAGTCCAGAAAAAACTCAACATGCATTTTGAAAAAGGTTCATACCATTGGGGGATATCTTTAAATATGTAACTTATATTCAAATTACAAAATCATAAAAAGTGCACAAATTCAAATTACATGGATCATAAAAAGTCTACAAACAATAGATGCTACCTAACATATCTCTCAGATTAACCCATTGCCGATGGACAAGGCATGTACGTCCATGCCATGCCCACTGTGGGTTTACTTGTTTAATTGTTTTTATAAATAGAAGGCTACACTTGTACTAAATCACCAATAAGCCAGTTATGAGTAATGCCTGCCTCACCAGTTCACCCTTTTAATTCATTTACGAAAATATTTCACGTGATCTTATTTTGCTGTTACTAATGTTTATAATATTATAGTGATTATAATGTTTATAATAAAAATAATACCATCGATATTTATAGCACTAGTAAAAAATACATTTTCGTGCACTTTCAAGGAAAGGTGAAATCAGGCAGACTCCTTTGTGGCTAAGCACTAGCAGAGCCATCTATGTACAGAGAAATTTCACTAAACTACAAAAAATGAGCTCAGCTTTTTCCCCATTTTTTATTAATTTTCCCCCCGGCAGCAATAGGTAAAAAAAAAAGAAAATTAACTACATTACAAAAACAGCAATTTTCCATGCTGAAAACACTTATCCTCGAGACATGTGAAATCATTACAACATGATACATTCTATATTATGAATAAATCTTTGTGCATTTACAAAAAATAAACATAATATGTAGCACTTCAAGTACTTCTCTTATGTAATAACATTGAATTTCTAAATGTCACTGATATACCACCTCAAATAATGTATGCTTTAAAACCCATAAATTTAACAGAAGTTGAAAGCTAAAATTTGTATGAATACATCTTTTACAATCATAAGTTGGAGGTCAGTGGAGAGAATATTCACTTTTGAGTAGAATATAACAATAATGCAAGTGGGGATAATATAAAAAAAAAAAATCAATGATCTTTTTAGTCTTGTCTTTGCCAGGCCAACAACCTATCAACCAAATTTTGCAACACCTACAACCAAGATCCCCTTTTTGTCACCCCCATAATGAAAGAAGTAAAAACAAGCCAACAATTTGGAAACACAGCTCTCTTGCAAGCTGTAAATTAAAATAAGAACCAGAAATTCAAGAACAGACACAATCATGGTGACTAAAAAAAATTAAAAAAAGGATCAGCAGCAAAACAAATTACATGGACAATTATTATCTCTTTTATGAAAAGGCAAATGATGATTCCTCCTTTCTAAATGGCGCCATTCTGCAGTGTTGCATTCTTCACACACACACACAGGCATGCACATGGGTGTGAGTACGGGTGTGGTGTGTGGGGTGTGGAGTGTGGGTATGAGTGTCAGAGAGAGAGAGAGAGAGAGAGAGAGAGAGAGAGAGAGAGAGAGAGAGAGAGAGAGAGAGAGAGAGAGAGAGAGAGAGAGAGAGAGAGAGATAGAGATGTAGAGATGTAGAGATGTAGAGATGTAGAGATGTAGAGATGTAGAGATGTAGAGATGTAGAGATGTAGAGAGAGAGAGAGAGAGAGAGAGAGAGAGAGAGAGAGAGAGAGAGAGAGAGAGAGAGAGAGAGAGAGAGAGAGAGAGAGAGAGAGAGAGAGAGATGTAGAGAGAGATGTAGAGAGAGATGTAGAGAGAGAGAGAGAGAGAGAGAGAGAGAGAGAGAGAGAGAGAGAGAGAGAGAGAGAGAGAGAGAGAGAGAGAGAGAGAGAGAGAGAGAGAGAGAGATGTAGAGAGAGAGAGAGATGTAGAGAGAGAGATGTAGAGAGAGAGAGAGAGAGAGAGAGAGAGAGAGAGAGAGAGAGAGAGAGAGAGAGAGAGAGAGAGAGAGAGAGAGAGAGAGAGAGAGAGAGAGAGAGAGAGAGAGAGAGAGAGAGAGAGAGAGAGAGAGATGTAGAGAGAGATGTAGAGAGAGATGTAGAGAGAGAGAGAGAGAGAGAGAGAGAGAGAGAGAGAGAGAGAGAGAGAGAGAGAGAGAGAGAGAGAGAGAGAGAGAGAG